CACTGGGAAAAAATGTGAAATCCATACTATGAGATTTGTAATTGCACCACTAAATCCATAGTATATCCATACTATTTCGATACTACATCCATAGTATGGAAATATACAATTATTATGGATAATCAAGAATCCATCCTATTTCCAATAAAGGTCCATACAATTTCCATTCTATGGATTTTCAAATATTTTTCCAGTGATATAGCAATATATCCTGAAGATATTGAATCATGTCGTATACCACTGTACCTTCCAAAGGTAATCTGGTCCATCAATTAAAAATGCTCGAACACTGCTGTATTTGAACGCAAGATGTAAACACTCAGTACCAAAATCAAAATCATCTTGTGTGCACTAAAATGACACAAGTATACATATAGACATGGAAATTACAATCTTGCGTTTACAACCACTATCACTAATAACGTTCCTGGGAAAATACAATGTAAAAGTGGGGAAAATAAATATAATAAAGGGATGAACATTCTATAAAAATGTAAAAAGAAACGTATTCGGAAGAATAATGAGATATATTGAGAGACATCAGACAGAGTTTAACTCTGATGTCGAAAAAATCGAAATGATTCCTGATTTGGTTTGATGTTTTACTGCACTAAACTTAGTGTTAAAAATGAGTTAAGGAAAAGAATAGAGTGAGCAGGAAATCTATATATTGTATATTGCAGTCATGTAATCTCTGGTTTTTATATTACTGTGTATCTTAGTGTTTACCTTTCGATATGCATTGAGAATAACATCATACTGAAAAGCTTGAGGCATTTCACTGGCGACGAACTTTGACCTAAATACACATTACAATTACATGTAATATACAATGTTAAATTATGTCATTTCCTTCCCTGTATCAGGGCAGCGGACTGGTACTGTACTCGTACTCGGTATAAATATTTCTAGAAATACTGTTACTTTCTATGTATTCAATATTTTTTGTTGACAAAGAGTTTTGTTCAAAAGCTGGTCTTGCCAGCTGGTTATGCCAGTTTCTGGACAAGGAAGTTCGAAGAAGTTCGTGTGTACAGACGTCAAGGAAACTTGACAAGTAATTGCGCAGTATGTCACTGCGCATTCATCTTCGAGTGGACATTGCCATTAAATCTCGGCTATTTTGCAATTGGCTTTTGAAGTGTGATATCGTAGACAGATTCAATTTATTTTAAGTTTTGTTGGAAGCAACTTTGAGCGAAATTTAACATGGGATTGTTTACGTACATAAATAGCGCGGGCTTGTAAAACTTGTCAAAAAAAAACACACGTCGTACACGCGAGCAAGCACGGGGCTTAATTTAGTCCTCAATGATCTCCTTTTTATTCGACCAAAGTGATGGATGAGTACAATGCACCAGCATATGCTGTGGTTATACCTGTCCAATGAGTGGTCAAGAAATCCACTTGTGTTTCTAGCTAATACAGTTGATACTAATGGTCTTACAACACCACAGGCCTAAAAATATTTGAAATGCAAACGGTTAATAGAGGACTAAATACATAAATTCAATAACAAATTAAGTATATAACTTAATAAAGTTACACATTATAAATTTGTTGTACAAATTGTGGATTTTCGTAAATGACACACACTGCAGTTATATGCAGTATTAACGTCATCATGATAGTCTGAGCGCAGTCCTGTATACGTTGTTAAAAACTGAATTCAACATTCCCAAAGGCCAAGGCCGGATCTTGGTGGAAGTGGTGGGGGGAGGTAGAAGACATTTAGGGGAGGTAGAAGACATTTAGGGCAGGTGCAGGTCTATCCATGAAATATTAAAAGGCCTAGAACGCACTCCCCTCAATTCAAGTACTGTGCGTGACGTTATGCATACACTGTACACATGTATCGTTATGACTGCACGACTCATCCAATGTTGCCCTTCTTTCGAAACAATGCACCAAAGGGTACTTCATTCAGAGATGAATGGCTATCACTGTTTCAATTTTACAGAAAAAAACTTTCTTGCAAAATGTAGACCTTATATAAGCAACACATCTGTCAAATTTTCACTTTGTTCTATCATTTAACATTTCCCAAAGGGAGGTGCATAACTTTTCAGGGGAGGTGCAAAAAATCTGAGGAGAGGTACCACCCCTCACCTCCCCTCAAAATCCGGCCATGTCAAAAGCTGATCGATGATACACAAACTTCTGTATTGAAAATTGAAAGAAACTACAACTACAGGCAGTATATATATACAGGCAGTGGTGTCAAGTAACGAAGTAAATGTACTATTTTTGAGAAGTTAGCATGTAACAAAGTAAACTTTTTGTGGAGTACTTTTATTTGGAACGAAGTCGTTTTAAGAAGTAACGTTTTACTTCGTTATTTTCATTTTGTGGCGAAGTATTTCGTTGCTTTCTCACATTTGTTTAATTTTACGTGATTTATTCCTGATTTATTTTAATTTTGGGATAGGTAATAGGACCTCTACATGCGTCTGGGATCTCTCATTTGTGGCTTACTTATAAGCATTATTTATTTAATGGATTTCTTATATGGGTCTGGAAAGTAGGCCATGCCGTGAAATATTGTATATTATGGTGCACGCATATAATGCGTGTGCTGTTTTGTGTCTTTTGTATGCCAATCCATTGGGGAAATCCCCCCCCCCCTACATGCTATAGACAATAGTACTTCTACTTTTACTTTGTACTTCAAGTATTTTTTAAGGATATTTTGTACTTTTTACTTAGTACGTTTTGCCTCCAGTACTTTTTACTCTTACTCAAGTCGTTTTATTGTTAATTTTTACTTTTACTCGAGTACAAATTCAAAGTAATTTAGGCACCACTGTATACAGGTAGTTCTGGACCACGTTTGTTATGTGTTAACCAGATTAACACATTACTACTCTATATGTTAACAGCAGGGCCGTGCTGGGTGCGGGAGGGAGTGGTGTAGGGGGCCCAATGAAAGTCGCAAAGAGGCCCAATTTTTGTTGAGCAATAAAAATCCTTAACTTCATCATGAAAGCATGCGGAATTTCGTGAAAGTAGGTTGAAGTTTTTCCTTGGGTCTGGGACCCTTATAGCAGTGCTATATTTAATAGAGTCATTTCCACGGGGCCCCAACCTGGAAGAAGGGCCTTCAAGATAATATAAATAATTTTGGTACCACCTCAAGGCAATTACCCTTTATGTTACGTTAAAGGGCCCAAGACCTAACTACATGTTAAAGAAGCCAGGAATTTTGTTTTTCAAAATCCCCCTTCTCCCCGCCAATGACATATCGGTGGATCACAGGATCGACACTGATTAACAGTACAAACACCTCCATACCTCCTGTACTTAGTATACTTACACCATGTCTTTGTGCAGCAACTACAATTTCCTTCAATAAACGTTCTTCAATAAATGGTCGAACAGCATCATGTATTATAATCTACAATGAAAATACAATAGGTATAACTATTTTAAACGTAATCACGTTGGAAATATACGCTGAAAATACCCCATAGTGGTCATGAGTGCAACACCAAGGAGAATGTGTTTTTTCTTTGAGTCGATTAATAACAAAAATTACATGTCATTAACTTCAGCCCTTTAGAAATAAAATATTCACATGATATTCTTTTTCTCTTTCAAAACAGTAAGTTTTTAAGAACCTCACACAAGCAGGGAAACATACATTGTCATGTACAAACAGTGAAACAGTGTGTACTTAATTAAATTCCTTCTAGTGTTTAATTACAGCAGCAGTGATGTATTGATGCATTTATCAGGAAACCAGTTTAATTATGTAATGTACAGTATTGTGAAGGCTGTGAACTTACTATATCAGGCTTTTGTTCAATTGTGTTCAAGTAACGAACTCCGTTATAAATTGATCCATGTCTAAAGAAAATAAACAAGTAAAACATTACGACTCTATAACGAGTTGGATAATGGCAAAACATGCAGGTACTGTACATAGGAACATAACTTATAGTAAGCTTGAAAAAGTTTAAACAACTAAAATGAAAACATTTTAGTTGCATGACCGGATCTCAAACGTGGGGTCCATTGCAGATACCTACAATAAACAGAACGTTGACCGTATTCCAATTTACCAGTTACAACATTGACCGTATTTCAATAGATCTGACTAATTTCAACCGTATTTCAATATATCTGACGGATGACCGCCATTGACAGTTTGTCAATAGGCCTGACCATCATTGGCCGTATCCAATATAACTGATCACCGTTGACCATATTCCAATATAGAACTGATCAACATTGACCGTATTTCAATATCGAACAACCTGACCAACAGTACTTGAGCGAATGCATGGTTGCATCGATAGGTGGAATAGTACATAATGTATAAAATACATTGATTAGATACAATGATACCTTGTAGAAAAAAAACAACAAAAAAAAACAAAGAACTTGATACCTTGTAGATTCCCCACATGCTGTAACTACTTTCTTATGGTTGCAATCCAAAACAATCTATACGAAAGTAAATCAATTCAGGATCTCTTATACTCAGTACAGTGCACTATACACCAAACGCTATACACCATACGCAATAGGCCATAAACCATTCACCACACACCATACATCACACACAATACGCCATTCACCATACACCATACACCACACCATACATCACACACCATGACCGCACACCATACATCACGCATCATAACCATATACCATATATAATACATCATTCATACACCCTTCATACTCAATTTCTGTACCTACGTTTTCCAAAATTTGTTTTCGACGTTCAGTGACAGGGCCAACAACAACGATGGTTTCTATCCACGGAACACTAAACCAAACCAATTGGGAACAATACAATTATTACAGTATTACTATACTATAAATTAAAATGTTCTGATCAAAAGTACAGTTGTTATTATGGCAAGTCAGAAATGATCCAACGTTTCTACCAGGTTTTTATTTAATTTTTGTGAATATTTTAATACGTACGTTAAATCAGTTGTGTAAACCTACTAAAATCCTTCTTGCAAACTAAGTGCTCTGCTGCAAATTTTGCATGGCGGCTTCGTGTATAGCATACAGTAAATTGCTCCCTGTATAAGACCGAATAGTGGTGTCCACCCGTGGATAGTGATTTTTTAAAATGATCAATAATCAATATCTGTAAATCGGATAAAGATTTCGTCCTGATTTAGACAAACTTTATATTGCCAAAATAGTTGGCAAACTTATTATACTTGGATGTATTCTTATTTTAAGTGATATAATCACATTTGATCTGTATCTGATTTACTAGGGCTCGCTTTTTAAATCAGATATAGTTTGGATGCTCATATGTACTGTGGCGTCTATATCCCTAGTACAGTATATAAATCACGAAGGCCGGTACACTAACCGTTCAAATGCTTCTATTGTATAACTTAGTAGAGGTCTGTCCAATATTTTGAGATACTAAAAATAAAATAAGAAAGAGAAATACAGTATTAAACGCCATTAAATACATGTTACAACATCATACCACCCTAAAAAACGCAAGCCAACAAGAAACCTATGCATGCAACTTGGTAAACGTCCCTGTTATTTCTGGTAAGCATAAAAATCTCCGACGGGAAACTGCGTTGTTCCATCCCTTTTGGTTACAAATACTGTATCTGCCACACAACGAACAAGGAGTTGTCGGCAGTGGCTGCGATTAACAACCCCTCTGTAGTTTTGGTCACTGAATCCTGGTTATCGTCTGACATTGCGGATTCTATTATTCGCATAGGAAACACTTACAACTCATATCGACTCGACAGACCAACGTCTGGTGGCGGTATCCTGGCATACGTGAAATCTGACTTACTTGCTAAACACCTTCCCAAATTAGAAGAGGAAGGAAAAGAAACGCTCCGGTTACTACTAAAGCCACCCAGAACACCGAGACCTTACAGTTCTATATCGTTGTAGTATGCGCTGAGTCTAAAAATTAATCCCGAAAACTGGGAGAAAGTGTACTCTGATGTGGATCGACGATAAGGTCTCTGTCTTTAACTCCATCATCACCAATATGTTTGATGAAACCATACCCGTGAGAACAGTTCGCGCACGTTGTATAGGACAAGCTGTGGTTGACCCCTAACATCAAGGCGCTGGTTAAAGCAAGACAGAAAGCATTTACGAAAGGGAAGACATCGAAGTACGAAAGTTTACATGCTAAAGTCACTAAGTTGATATCCAACGCGAAAGTTACGTATTATAAATCCAAGGCTGAGGGAGCCACAAATCAAATCCCGCCAAATGGTATAAATGGATTTACGCGTATAAATCAATTTATACACAATGGTATAAATCGATATTTATCGACCTATGTCCTCGCCTGACCATGCCGACTTAACGGCAATCGCTGACAGTTTTATTAAAAAAGTTTTATTAAAAAAGTTTTATTAAAAAAGTTTTATTAAAAACGTTTTATTAAAAAAGTTTTATTAAAAACGTTTTACTAAACCTTGGCTAGAAATTCAATCAGATTCTCCAAGACTTCAAGCAGTAGAACACCTGCTTAAGGATAGCCCCCCACCTCTACCATCCAATGGCCAAATCAAAACCGTCCTAAAACATTTAAATCCCAGGGAAGCCACAGCTGGGAATAATATCCCTGCATGGTGTTGCAAGCATAATTCAGTGCAAAGATCCCACCTCGTATACAAGCATGCAATCATCAGTCCCATACCAGGCAGGCACACAATTGAAAGTTTTACATTTTGTTTCTGAGGGATTACCTAAAGATTTACTGATTTCTAAAGGGTAATGTGGAGTTATTAATAAAATTGACCATGGATTACAATTATTGTATAATCAATTCATGAATGGCCACATCTGACAATAGACAAAATAAAATAACAAATAGGACACAATGTGCTTGCACACTTTATTGATGCCCCAATTCCACTGCTTGTGGGGACAAGATTCATTTTGCACGGGAATGCCAACTTCGCTTCCATTCTCCCATTAATGCCCGACCGCGTCAGGGAAGAGATTGAGTACCGACACGTTACTACGCTGGGATCTGTCCATGATGATACGGCCTTGCCCATAAACTGTATGAAGCCAGTCTTCATCAAGGCAAGGGTGGGTGAGCATGAGCGGGAATGTTCAGTGGACACAGGCGCAACGGTGTCGTTAGTCAGTCGGGAATTGATTGCTGGCCCTTTAAAGCCTTGCTCTTTGAAGGCACGATGGATTGGTGGATGAGGAACACGGGTGTTTTGGGTGCTGATTTCTTAAAACCAGGGAGAATGATTGTGGACATAGCGAAAGCAAAACGCTCCTGGCCTATGGGAGATGTCAAGTTGATAATAGAGACCTCCGCCCCTCACCGTCAACAAGCTGAGTGTCCTGCTAGAAACGTATTCGGATATTTTTGTAAACAGACAGAACGACCCTTTAGGTTGAATCGTGAACACAAGCAGAACACTCGATTGATATCAGTGACAGTCATCCTGTGAAGCAAAAGCCTTATAGGATTCCGATTCATCTCAACAAGGTGGTGAACAAACAGGTAAATGATATGTTGAAGAGGGGTCCTATTCGCCGGCCAAGAAGCAGTCCTTGGCCCTCACCAATCGTTCAAGCTCCAAAGAAAGACGGTGATTACCGGTTTTGTATTGACTTTCGTTTTGTATTTGGCGGGTTAATTCAGCAACAAAGAAGGACGTTCAGCCCACGTCACGTATCGACGATATTCTATTTACACAAACTCTAACGATTCTGGACTTGGCACGGTTTAGTCCCGACGACGAGGCCACGAGGGAAGCATGAATATGTGATCGCGTATGCCAGTCGGACACTGCAGACGGCTGCAGAAAGGAACTACTCAACGACGGAGTGTTTAGCCACTGTATGGACAGTAACCATTGTTTACCATATTTGCTTGGTAATTGGTAAAGCCTTCGCTATTTTAACGGACCACCAAAGTTTGACCAAAAGATGACAAAGAGTGGAACGTGAATGGAGAGCGGCGTCGTTGCAAACAGTTGTGGTCACAATTGGAGATCATAAATGGTATCCTTATACCATTGTGTGGATGAAGGCACTCCAACAGAACGGTTGGTATTGGTCGTTCCCCGGAGGATGCGTCCCAACTTTTCAAAGTCGATGACCTCACTTGTTGTTCGGTAGCGAAATCTGGGGTCCTCAAGGTCCGTCTGCTGATCTGCATCATCTCTAAGGAATTCAACGTCGAGCAACAAAGTTTATTCTTCAGGACTATGAATTGTCGTACGTTGGTCGCTTGAAAAAACTGAATCTAACCCCCCTTTCATATTGGCACGAAATTAAAGACATATTCCTCTACAAATGAAAATCCGGGATGTACGAACTTGACATCAATCAGTATATTACCCAGTCTATTCACCACTCCACTCGTTCCGGTTCTGGTGATCTTCGTCCAAACATGTGCAAAACCTCTCTCTTCCGAAACCTACTGTATACTTTAGAAGAATTGTATTTTTATGGAACAATTTACCGTCAGATATCAAATCATCTTCGTCAATCGCCATACTTAAATCTAAACTGTATATATTTTACACTAACAAGCTGAACAGTACTTTTGATGTAAGATCGTCGCGTCCTAGAGCATGTAAAACTGTGTGCAGTGAATGTCGTTCTTCACAAACAAACTGTTGTTCATAGATGTAATTATAATTGTTATATGTCCTAAATCCTAATGTTTATGTACTGTATATAATATGTATTCTTGTGATACCAATACGTAATTATGTTTTTGGTGGGACTTGATTAGGGACTCGCGTCCTGTTGTCCTTACCATCAGTCATTTGATTGTAAAGTTATAATAAAAAAAAATAAAAATAAAAATAAAAAAAGTTCAGTGAATATGGGTATTAATTAACCGTTGCTTAGAGCGTTTACAACAACGATATTATTGGCCTGGAATAGCGTCAGAAGTGCAATGGTGGATAGCGGACTGTGAAATGTGCAACCACTGTAAGACATCAGTCTTGTCCAAAAAAGCAGCCATGAAGAGTATAGAAGTTGGGCTACCAATGGAGCTATTGGACGTTGGACATATTAGACCCATTGCCCATGACCGCACGTGGAAATCATGGTAATGTCTGAACATTTCACTAAGAGGCAGTTCCTATGGCAAATCAAAGAGGCAACACTGTAGCAAAGGCCTTTGTAGATGAGGTCATAACCTGATACAGGCTCCCAAGTAAACTCCTGACTGATCAAGGAAGAAATTTCGAGGCAGATCTGATGAGGCAGGTGTTCCATCTTCTTGGGGTGAAGAAGTTGCGAACTTCTCCGTATCTGGAAAGGCTAAATCGCACCTTGAAGGAAATCCTGACAGCCTATGTGAACAAAGATCGTAGTGATTGGGATGTTCATTTACCTTTGGCCTTGTTCGTGTACCGTAATATTGTACAGTCATCATCGGGCGTTTCACCCTTCAGAGCAGTTTACAGTCATGAAGCCAACACACCGTTACTGCTGACGGCTACTCAAGTAGAAGCAAAAGGAACAGTTTATCTCAAACTTAACTGTAACAAGTTAGAAAAGACTTTGAATAACATTCAAGGCGTAGTGAAAGAAAACATAAACCGGAGGTACAGAGGAAACAGAAGAAGGGATATGAGGATCACAAGGGTACACATGTACTGTACCGTTCAACATGCCTGTAGAAAGTAGGAAGTTATGGAGTGACGCTACCTCCAAGCTCTAAAGGGCTAACTCCAAACCAAAATATACACTTGAGTAACTTGTGTAATTCAAGAGTTGAAATATGAATTCTGGAGTTACTGGCTAACTCCAAAAATGATTTTGAGCTATATAAGTATACAACTGCAAAAATAATTTACCTGTAGGAGCTAGGCATCAAAGCCTGGAGTTACCGGCTAACTCCAATAATCATTTGGAGCTACGTATAACTCCAAAAGTCATGAAAAAACAAGGTATCTAAGCCTTGAGTTACTGCCTAACTCCAAAAATATGTGTATAGCGAGGCGAGTCAGCCTATATAGCCGCTAGGTACAGTACATACATGTAAGGTTGAAGTTACTTGCTGTGTTGCCAACTCCAAAAATCATTTGGAGCTTGTTATCTAAACCAGGAGTTACTGACTAACTGGAATAACCGCAAGAACTCTCAGAATGCACTTCTATATTCCACTGTATTAAATATAAGACTGAAATACCCAGAATATGCACATAAACATGACATTGACACACTTGGCATTTTGTTCTCGTTCAGAGGCTAAATTTTGATCTGCAGTTGACTGTTGAGGCAAACCCATTCTCGTACACTGCGTCCTTGTCATGCTCTGTTCATTGTGTGTAAGGCGGGCTCTGGGTACGAGAATGTGGCATAGCCTAGCTCCATTTACAGATTGGCTACCTCCACAAAAATAAAATCTACAGGTATACCGTTCAAAGAGGGAGATTGAGTGTGCATGACTCAACAACACTGCAGTCCCAAAATGTTTGAGCTGAAAATTCCATCAACAAAGGGCTGGATTTTACAAAGTACTTAGTGATAGTAATGAACTATCACATCGAACCAGAAGCTGGAAATGGCAAGGCCAAAGTGGTCCACCACAATCATCTTAAGCCAGCCCCATGCTGACCCAGAGATGAAGAACACCAGCTAATTACCAACTGCCCGAGCATGGACACCCAAACTACAATTATAATTATTGTTCCACACAAACCGAGAATACACCATCAAGAGAAGGTAACAGAAGTGCAACTCTTACCACAACCCTTACCACAATACACCTCTCAGTGTCGACCAGTAGAGATCGACAACACTCTCCATTAAGGAGGGGGATAATGTAATGTACAGTGATAAGGACAATGTACAGTGACTAAGTGACAAATTAATGAACAGTGCTAAGTGACAATGAACAACACAAAAAATATGAGACTACATACTGTAGTTATATGTAAATTTATAACAGAAGGATTATTGTTGTGTGTAAGAAAAGTGTTTGGGATTTCAATTTTCATTCATTAACCCATTGAGTGGCAGCACCCTCTCCCTGACAAGTAAAATCGTCTGGCGTTAGACAGAGTAAAATAATAAAGTAGGGTGCATCTGGGTGCATTGCCACTTAAAGGCTTAACACTACATTATAAAAGCAAGAAGCCTTTCCTGGTTATAATCTGGTGATTGGGTACACTAGATGGTGAAAATCATCCACTGCCAGCTTCTATTGGCAATCCTAACCCTACATAGCCTAGCACCTCTGGCCTTGCACTAATGTTACCATAGATTGGGTGATGTCCATAGCTATTACACTGTTTATGGGTTCCTAACTCTAGTCATATATACCTCTAACCCAGTGGCAAAACCAGGGTTTACAAAGTGGGGGACAAGTTGAGCGCCAAAGGCGCGAACACTGTAGGGGGTCCAGGGACATGCTCCCTCTGGAAAATTTGGAAATTCAGAGCCTCTGAAACGCCATTTCGTGTATTTCGGGGTGAGATTTTACAAAATTCAGAAGATTATAACATAATAATTCGGTCAAGAATGCCTTCGTCTTCAGTTATTAGATAGCTGGACATGAAATCAGATCAGTGTTACCCCCCCAGTTTCTCAACAGATTTAAACATATCTCGAAGGTGGTTCTGAAGGACAGTGGGGGGACCTTGTGGCTATGCCACTGCATGCTCTGACCTATTGTGACATACTGTAGTGAAGTTTACTAATTTACTATGGGGATTTATTGTGGCCATGAGTTTACTACATACAACCCAGCAAAAATAGGGGAGAGGGGGCATAGGGCGCTTTGTGTTAATGTTAATAGATTAGTGATTACTCGACAGTTACAGTACTTTTTAATCATGCCCAAAACATTGGTAAAACAATTAGCCTCATTTTGTAGCAATCTTCTAAAATTGAAATGTAGTGTATGAATAATAAACATCACAGACCATGTATTTAATAACGAGAAAGATAACGTAACCTTACGTACCTGTTTTGGTATATCACAACCCATTCTTGAACCGATTCCAGCAGCAGGTAAAACGACAGACACACGAAAATCAACCATGATTGAAATTTACAAATTATATAATATTAGCTCCATGTTATAAGAGGGCATTCATTTAGCACAATATCAATTTAAATAGTGCGATATTGATCTGAACAAAAAGTTTTTATTTAGAAATATGTTGATCAGCTTGATCATATATGAATGATCATTAATGGATTAAATTTGTGAAATACCAAAATAAAATACCCGATGATGGCGGGCATTGGCGGGCATTTTATTTCGCGCGAAATCAAAATTCGAAAAACACGCGCGAGGGAATTAGGAACGAGAGGTTTCAGAAGGTTTTCTAAATTTCATGAATTCATGATCAAACCGAACTTTCAACCAGTGTCACCAGTGGAACTGCTTTCAGACATATTTTGAATCAGCCTAGACCTAGGCCTTCTAGTCTTATTTATATTTTTTCATATTCAGCGCTTTTTCACATGAAAAGACTGGGACTAGGTGATTTGGGGGCGGGGCGGAGGAACCAAGCCTAGAAGGCCCAGTTGATTTCCCAACAACATGGCCAAAACTGCCCTGAAACTGCCCTGGTTGCGAAATGCCCAATTATTGCGTTCTCAAACAGAATTACTTGCAACTTAACGGCAAATTTAAACCGATACAGGTAAAATAAACTCATTTATAGTATAAACTTACTATTTTTATTTGTATACACGTCTAGAAAATCGGGGTTTTTATCATAAAGTTCGAAGCAACACTATTATTTAATATGTTGACAAGGTGTAGCGAAAGCACAAAATGAGTCAAAATATATACCAAAAGTAGAATCTTTCATGAAATTTTGTCTTATACACAACTACATTAATATATATTTTCTCAATTTTGGCAAGAAGCAGTCTTGTGTTTGTAAAATATACAAACACATATACAATTATAATTTATTAAATAAAACGGATACATATATTATTAGCCCGTACAGTACTGTATATAAAAACGTACATTGTTTACAAATGGTATATCCGTAATATTTGAACAATAATTTCAAATTCCTCATTCCCAAATATAGTTATTCAAAGCAAAACAGTAGATTGTCTTGCGAATAAAAGAATTATTATTTTGTGCTTTCGCTTCACCTTGTCAACATAATAATAGTGTTGCTTCAAACTTTATGATAAAAACCCCGATTTTCTAGACGTGTATACAAATAAAAATAGTTATACTATAAATGAGTTTATTTTACCTGTATCGGTTTAAATTCGCTGTTAAGTCGCACATAATTCTGTTTGAGAACGCAACAATTGGGCATTTCGCAATCAGGGCAGTTTCAGGACAGTTTTGGCCTTGTTGTTGGGAAATCCACTAGGCCTTCTATTTTTTCGCTTGCGTCAGGCTTGTGTCCTTCCTCCGCCCCGCCCCCAAATCACCTAGTCCCAGTCTTTTCATGTAAAAAAGCGCTCAATATTAAAAAAAATATCAATAAAAATAGAAGGCCTAGGTCTAGGCTGATTTTGAATGATTACAAGGAATGGATGGAAAGTTCAGTATTTTAATGCGTAGTGAAAACATACTGTAGAATGGTAATTAAGCTTGATATAATAATAGATTGATATTTTCTTGAATTTTCTTGTTTCTGTACGTAGTACTATATCCACTCGGGCAGTGGCGGCGGAAATTAACTAGGGCTATAGCCTCCTCTATATAAAAATTGGGTAAATTTAGAGAAAAATTCAGAAAAAATTAGCCCACTCCAAGAAAATAGAAACTGTTCTGTCGCCACTGCACTCAGGTGAAGATATATATCATGTTTGTGATGTTGTTTAGCTTTGAGTGTGTCCACTGTCTTTGAGTGTGACATGTCCACTCTAGGCAAGCAGAAAAGTTTGCTTGACCACGGTGGGAATCACGTCAGTGACCTTTGGTTTGCTAGTCCAACGCTCTACCAACTGAGCTATGTCAAGTCGGTTTGAGTGGGTGATATTTTGGAACTCAGTCTAGTTCCTTCGATATTAGACAGTGTGTTTTTACGATCTTGAATTTTTAGAGAATATTTTATACACAGCAGTGATTGAAATATGATGCCAATTACTTGATTGCTCCTTGCCTTGTTTATATTTCCTGGTGGGTAAAGGTTTACTTTTTGAAAAGCTTTATAATTGTGGTTTGCCACTCCCCAACCCTGGGGAAAGGTGGTGGTAACTAGTAACCAGGGCTGTAAATACTTGTTACAATTGTAACACGTTACTGCATGTGTACTTGTTACATTTGAAGTAATTTTAACCTGTAATTAATTACGTTTTTAAAAATGTAACGAAAAACGTAATTAATTACAAAAGCAAGGAACGTGTTTCTTTTCCAAGGAGCAAATTGAAAATTCCTTTTCATATTTTGCAAAAATAAGAAATAAAAAATACAACGTTGCGACAAAAATTCAGAAAAATGGCTGAAATAATTTTCAACAAGATTTCACATGACATGATAGCCTACATGAAGTACTATTTATTTGCGAAAGTGGAACCACAATTTGTTTCGAGGCTCAGAGCGCCAAATATTGGCAAATAAAGTTTTAAGTTTATAGCATGCTTCGATTTGCATGTCAAATGTTTTAATATATTGAAATATCATCTTGATAAATTCTTGCAAATTTCATAGTTTATACCGTTTTTATTTACAACTACTGTTTAATTAAGATATTGTCTTATAATATATATATAGTAACAATTTGCTGGTAAAGGAATTTGTAATTAATTCCTTTTTTCCGGAGTAATTTTTTCATTGTACTTAATTACATTTTAGAACAAGTAATTGTATCAGGAATTTATTACATTTTAAAGCAAGTAATTGTAATTGGAATTAATTCCTTTTTCAGCGGTAATTTTGCAGCCCTGCTAGTAACAGGGAAAATAATAGGAATTTTGGTGGGATTTTATGCCCAAGGCCCTTGGGTATATTTCCAAAGATTTGTCTGACAGGTGTAATTTTGAAGAAAGTGAACTTTTGTGTAAATGGTTATAAAAGGTTTCATAATCAAGAACAGTCCCAGGTATGTGGCTGTACGTCAAGTTTTGATTTGACCGAAATGACAATCCCTAGGTAAGGGGTCATTTGTGTGTATTTGGGGATCGATCAGTAACAAACACAAATCCCCACCTTTCCCCAGGATGGAGGGTTAAATCTGTTTCATAATTGGTTAATGTAAAGGACAAGGGCCCGAAGGGGTCTAAAAATACACACTGAACATCTTCTACGTCATTTTTTATAAATTATAAGAATTTAATTCTATACCTTTGTCATCTTTTGTTTCAAAAGGCGAAGAAAGCACCAAGAAAATTGCCTGCATGTTTTCAACAAGGAATGGGCGAATCTGGTCTTTGTGATATGACATTTGATGGCAAAGTGTATTATTGTTCTCAAAAAGATGACTGTAATTTTATCTGTAATCAATTGAGGTATTTCTACAAGCAGTGGTGGCAGAGCAGTTTTTATTGGGGAGGGGATGGGGATATTTTCCATAGTATTTTGCCCAAAATGGTAGGACCAGCTGGATAGCAAAAGCCAAGTTACTCATTCTGCAATGATTTATGAGAATATTTTGTATTATAGAGTCAGGGCTGCTGAGAGATGTTGTGTGGTCCAGGGCAAAATTTTCCTTGGGGCCCTTAATGATGTCTGCAGGGACCTAAACCCCAAAATAGGCATACATGTACCTAAACCTGAGCGACTTGTTACTGCTCAATTTTTGGATGTCAAATTGGCCCATGCAAGCAGGCAGCGCTGTATAGAGTTCATTGTCATGGACTTTTGCATCCTATTATGGATAATTGTCTGTTGTTAGACATCAAGTAAGCCGTGGGCTGTTGGCCAAAATTATTTCGCTTCGTGGCACCCATGTGGGAAATACTTGGTTTGGGGTTTATTTGAAAGGCATATAGGTACATCACTACCAAAAAAAGTTCCCAAGCAAAAAAGTTGCCCAATCCCGGAAAATGGGTGATCAATGATTATCCTCTATTAAATTGTATTACAGCAAAAAAATGGGAAATTCTGTATTCAATTACAATAAAAATGACTTGCATTATTGGAAAACGTACAAAAAATCGCATATAAGACTTTTAAACAGTTTTTTTTATTTTTCAAATACCGGTAGTCTTTGAGTTATTGCTGTTTTAAATGTGAAAATTGGACCAAAATGTTGCAATAAGGACTGGGTACTAGGTCAAAAACGCGTTTTTGACAACGTATAACTCGAAAACAATTTTAGATATAAAAAACTGTTTAAATGTCTTATATGTAGGTTTTTGTAAGCTTTCTGATAATGCAAGTCATTTTTGTTGTAATTGAATACAAAATTTCACATTTTCTTGCTGTAATGGGTCATTCCAGAAAAGATCTGTACTCCCCCCACGGAGGAAATTTCTGCCGTCCGGAGGGGGAGGGGATAAAAAATTGTTTCTGACAATAGTAAATGTATAATTAGGACATCCGAAGTAGACGGCCGGCCAAGTCATCAACTTGTACAACTGGATGGCAACTTTATGTTAGAAGCTGGTAACAGGAATTTTCTTATAGTTCAAGCCTTGGTGAACAAGACTACATGTGTTACCACTTCTGATTTTTGCTTTATAGCCAAAAATTTGAGAATTTTTAAATTTTGCCTATTAAATTACTATGATCGGAAAAAATGTAAAATTTCATGTTCTCTTATACGAAAAATAAACTATACCACTAGGAAGATCGTAAAAAACTATATATAAGACAATTAAGTGAGTTCTACGTTTTTCCAATCCTATTTCGAGGTTTTAATGTTAAAAAATGCAGAAATGACCAAATTAATGCTAATTAGACCCATTTTGCCAACTTTAACCATTTTTAATTCAAAATCGGCTCGAAAATCACACTAGTCGCTTAATTATCTTATATATAGTTGTTTGCGATCTTTCTAGCGGTATAGTTTATTTTTTGTATAAGATAACATGAAATTTTACATTTTTTGCCTCATAGTAATTTAATAGGCAAAATTTTAAAATTCCCAAATTTTTGGCTATAAAGCAAAAATCAGAAGTGGTAACACACACAGTCTTATTCACCAAGGCTTGAACTATAAGAAAATGCCTGTTACCAGCTTCTAACATAAAGTTGCCATCAAACTCTCTTTAGAGGCACTTTTTGCCACCTTGGCCGGCCAACTAAAGGGGGTAGGGGGGTTAACTTCCTATTTCCTCCGTGGGGGTGGTATGGGCGTTTTCTGGAATGACCCAATACAATTTAATAGAGGATAATCACTGATCACCCATTTTCTCGGTGTTGGGCAATTTTTTTGCTTGGGAACTTTTTGTGGTAATTAAGCATCTATGGTTCTATGAATTGAACCACAGAAAATCTATTTCCCAGGGGGGTGCCACGAAATTGCTTTTCTAGGCTCTTTTTCGCCCAACAGCCTACGGCCTAAAGGATTAAAATTAGGTCACAGTATCTTCCTAAAAATTAAGCCAAGGGTAGCACTTCATCTAGCTAGATTTCCATATACTGTAGCATGCTAGTACGCTTCTGTTTCTCACGAACATCAGGCACCAATGTTGTAGGTTGGGGAATACTCCAGTTGTTGGCTTTGACATAGAATGGAAGGTCACTTTTACAAGTAAAGTGAGAAAGACAGCATTAATTCAACTTTGTCCATCGAAAGAGATATGTTATCTTTTCCACATATTTATGATGAATGGTAAAGACTAAAGTATATTTGTGTTGAAAAGCAAAATAATTACACATATTGTCATATTCATATATTAATTAATTGACATTTAATTTATCATTTTGTAATATTTTTTATCACATGACAGGTTGTTAATGTTGTTTTTAGTCCAACTCTAATATAGTCAGTGTTAGTCAGTGTGTACAAGTTGAAGGCATATGCATTTCATGAGATAGTGAAGGAGATGTTAGAGCTGTGCAAACTCCGCTTATTTTAGCTTCGGCAGTCAAAACTCCGGCTTAAGGAAATTTCATATTTAAAAGTAGAAGCAGGCGAAAGTATTTCAGTGTAATTTCAGAATTTATTTTATTCCTTTTTGAGATTCTCCTTTATTTATCAAATATACGTGCTTCGGTGCTTGTTTAAACAATGTTTTGTAGAAAGTAAAACCGCATGGCAGCGTGTTATTTTCGCCCAAAATACATCGGGGTCAGCGGATTTTTGTATCAAAAACATTGAACTATAAATAAACTGGACGGCTAACTGCTATGACGAAGGCCTATGATTTGATGAAGCCAAAATAGTTTTTCTGAGTTATGAGCAGAAATACTTGACCCCAAACGTCATATATATCAAATTGAAGCTATTGAAAATTGCTATTCGGTGTGGAAATTTCAAGACTTCAGCGAAAAGGAAAATATTTAAAAAATACAAAAACAACTGCAAAACGGCAAATTATCGGTAATTATGTTTGTAGTTTTTCAATATTTCCCTTTCAGCTAAAGACGTGAAATTTCTACACCAAATAGCGTTTTTCAATAGCAGCTTCAATTTGATATATAGCCCAACGTTCAGTGTTGAGTATTTCTGCTCGTAACTCAGAAAAACTAAAATGCACTGGCTTTAATCCCCCCCCCCCCCGAGTTAGCCTTCCAGTTTATTTATAGTTCAATGATCAAAAGCGATAGCAATGCGCTTGCAGAATTTTCGAAGCTACGAATCGGATCGGAGCAAGTAATTAAACTTTATAGTAACTTCAAATCATTCAACTTAATTTTTCCATTACCAAAAGTTCATTGAAAAATGAAATAATTTTTCATAATTTTGTCTGAAGGTGTTTTCCGCGGCTCCGGCAAAATATGCCGGGGCTCCGGCACACAGCTCTAGGAGATGTTGGTTGTATATCCCTCCTTAGTTTACTGACTTTCTTGAACCCTTATTAAAATTTCTTTTACCCGCAGGTTTTCCATCTGAATTGAAGTTCATCCTTGAAAATGAAGCAATCACAAAAGTTGGAGTTGGTATACATAAGTAAGTCGCAGCCAATTTCTGCAATACAGTACTCAGTGTTTTTGTTTCGTGTTGTTCCACTGACAATACTCTGTATGTTCTTTAGCGATATGCAGAAAATCAGGAAAGATTTTGATATCAATGCAAAAGGATATTTAGAACTCTCTGATTTGGCAAATACGAAGCTTAAATCGTCTGAGAAATGGAGTCTTAAAGGATTAACAATGAATTTGGTAAGCATTCATGAAGTTATATGTATACTGTAAGTACATGTACATGCATAATATAGAAGTACGTCCACATACAGTATGCTCTCATACTAAATCAGGTACTGTACAACATGTAGATATTGGAGCATGTAGATATTGGAGCATGTAGATATTGCAGCATGTAGAATGAAATGAAGAATTATGAAGGCCGAAGTTTACTTAATTTTTTTATGCCAAATTTGCCGAGAAATGCGTTCTCCAACCCGTCCAGAAGGACGTCCAAAACGCAAATCAAATGCGTCTGGAACAGGAATGCATAGTCAAACGCGTCCAGAACGCATAATCAAATGCGTCCAGAACACATAATCCAACGCGTCGGGAATGAATAATCCAACACGTCGGGAACGCATAATGAACCGCATCGGAAACGCATAATCAAACGCGTCGGGAACGCATAATCAAACGCGTCGGGAACGCATAATCGAACGCGTCTGGAATGCGTGATCAAACGCATCGGGAACGCATAATCAAACGCGCCTTGAACGCATAATCGAACGCGCCTGGAACGCATAATCGAACGCGCCTGGAACGCATAATCAAACCCGTCGGGAACGGCTGGATGCCATATCAGCCATTGGTTTCGGTCGTTAACCCTGTGTCAGGTCAAGTTATGTGACGATAAGCTGTTTTCATGCAGGTTTTTAGCGGATCATCACTTTGCGGAAACATTAATATCTGAATTTCATGAAGATTGTTGGTGATTATCTTATATTAATTGCGTGCATGCTGTGGTATTATCCAAGATTTGTGTGACCATGCATGATTACATGATTATAAAGCACAAAATATCCTGAATGTAAGATTACAAAAAAGTTGGCGTTTTGACTACTGTGCTGAAGTTAAAAAGTGAAATTAAAACAGTGTAATTAGAATATTAGGGACCGGTCATAAAGTATTTATAGGGGGTATGGAGGATTTTTTTTTTTGGGGGGTACGAAAAAACCCCAGAACCTCTGAGGGGGGTACGAAAAAAAACCCCAGAACCTCTAGGGGGGGGGGGGGCCCCAAAATCTTAAAGTAGTGTACTATAGGTACGGAAAAAATTACATTTGATAATTATTGTTGAATTTTGAATGTATTTGTGCCATGCAGATTTAAGTTTGGAAAGAATTGTTTTTCTATAATTATTATTAAATCAACACAAAGTATATATGTTTCAGTCTGACTCAATGTCAGATGATAAGTAGAATTCAGTATCCATGGAACTTTTGGAGTACAAATCTGATACATCTGAATTGTCATTGCTAGCAAGCTCACACCATTAGAACCTGATGACGAAGTGTCACATTGAATGGAAGCAATTTATTTTTTTCTGTTTGAAATAAACCAAAACCAAAATTTTCAGTTCTTACTCTCAGCCCATCGCTAGTGTGTTAGAATCAGAAAAGACTGGTGACGAATCAGAGACTGCGGAAAAAGTTGAGGATATGGTTACCACTACAACAAGTGGGAGAGTTATCACAAACTGGATAGTTTCAAAATATAGATAAACGCAAGACAAATGTTAAAACAGACTTAATGATAGAAAATGGGGGGGGAGTATAAAAATTTTCACTTAATTTGAAGGGGGTTACGAAAATTTTTCCATAGGTTTTTGGGAGGGTATGGAAATATGTACTTCAAATTTCATTTATCCTCCACCCCCCTCTAGTAATTACCTTATGACCAGTCCCTTAGATCATACTTACACCATCCTGAAAACATTATAACATGAGAAGAGTAGGAGATTAAAACCCATTTGTGTAATATCATTAGTAGTAATCTACAATAATCGTCAGGACAAGCACCTGTTACCTCAGTATCGTGGGTTCGATTCTCGCTGCGGGCTCGTGACACTTACATGAAAAGAGTCCGTCAAACGACAACGCTTTACCCAAAGTCGTGGGTTCTCTCCGGGTAGTCCGGCTTCCTCCCCCAGGGAATGTTGACAAGCTGGGTTGACACTATAGCCCAATCTCAAAACCAGAGCCCGCAATCCTCTGTGGAGGCTTGCTGAGGCTCTGGGAATGAGGAGCCAGACAGCTCCATATTGGCAGCTCCAGATTGGCGAATCTGGAGCCAGCTCCACATACAATTTCAATCTGGAGCTGGAACGACTAGTTTGTAAACAAACTGCTTTGGACGCTGAACTACCGATGGATATTCAATTTTTTTGAAAGACCATTTTTACTTGACATATTTCTTAGTATGTGATGGAAAATGAAGTCAGTATTCCGTTCCGTTCGTCCATGGTAGCTTCTGAAAGATCACTGTTTTTTTCTGACAAAGGGGCTGGTCAGCGGTCGGATAGATCGCAAAGCTCGTTTAAAACCTTATTTTGTTACCTTCATAATGAAAAACTTTAAAATTTGATCGATGACCATTCTGGAGAATGTATTCAAAAGTAAATTCATGCAGTCAACTTATTCCTACATCGCGAAACCGCGATAAATAACTCGCGC